GCTATTAATAAGAATCTTATTAATTCCTAATGGGATTCAATTTAGTCTCAAACAGACACAGTTTTCTAGAGGGTTAAATGAATTCTATACAAATCAGGCCTGTCATGGGAATATCTTAAATTAGTCCGCTGACCTCTGGGAAAAAGACTTGGAGGGAAAAAAGTGGCTGAAAATGTAAGCCTCTTGATTATTGAACCCACTAACAAAGCATCAGGAGAGGAGATCCCCACCCCCACTAATTGGCCACCGTGGCTAATTCTGGCCCATGCTACTGGCTGGCCAATGTTGAAATGTCTAACATTGTCATGAGCTCTCCCGGGACAAAGTCTTGGGGAATAGGAATCTAATCTTCCTGAAATTGTGACTTAAGAGCCAATTACTATAATTTTGGTAGAATTATTTGTAAGAGATGTGATCAGGTGGCATGCTTTTGAACATCATAATACCTACAGTATTAGTTCATCTGATTGAGCTAATGATTGAGCATACATGATGTTGTGACCTCAATCTGTTGCAGGATTTATTATTGGGCTGTATAAAGCCTGCAGTATTTAGTTATTCTGGTTTTCAAAATAAATCTGTGCATACTAATTGGTGAAGGATGCAGGTCTTGTATACATATATACAATATTCCTAAAGAATTGCATTTAAATATTTTTGTAGTACATTACTTTAAAATTATTTTGTGATTTTAGGTTTACATAAAATCTAGAGCTACACAATGCAAAATAGCTTGACTTCTTGGCCTTAACTTTTCTGCCACTAGAGCACTCCTCAATCACCTACCTAACCATAAACTTCTACCACTATTATAGGATACTATAGAAATTGCCCAGCAGCTTCTCTGTGTCATTGTGACTCTAAAAGAGTTCTACCTTTCGACCACCACTGTTCATTAATCTACTTTACATTATTTGCTCTATATGACTTGTGTTTAGGCTGCATTTATGACTATAGAGTATGAAGTTATTTTGAATTTATAGAGTTGCTCTTAAAGTGTTGCGTGTAATTCTAGATTATACACTGAAGCAAGCTATTTTACTGTTATATTGATTTTAAAATTATTTTTGTGGTATCATTTATTATTATAACATGTTTATCCTGCCTTTTTATATATTTAACTCAAGATGATGAACATACCTAATACTCCTGCTACCTGTTTTCCCCACAACAGCAACCCTAGCACTAGACAGGTTGAATCGGGTCAAGAGAGTCAATGACTGGGCCAAAGTTACCCAGTCAGCTTTCATGCCCAAGGCTGGCCTAGAACCCACTCTCTTGATTTCTAGATCAAACCTTTCTGCACGACACCCAACCTAATGTACTTTTGATAAATTAGAAGATAGAGGCAGATACACAAGTAGTATATATAGATAAATAATGGCTAGCCTTTTCATCACTGCATGCCAAAAGTGTGTGTGCATGCACCCATAATGCAATGCACATGTGATCCTCCCTCATATGCCCCCCCATGCACACACAAGCCCATTTTCCCCACCCCACGCATGTGTGCACTACTCCCACAATGTGCATGTGACCCCCAATCCATCCCGTCCCCTGCACATGCACGTCAGACCCTTGCATGCACCCTGCCCCCCGCACATGCGTGGCTGACCCAAAAACCAGCTGGCTGACAGGAAGCATGCACACAGGTGCAGTGGAGTTGAGCTGGGGCAACAGCTCGTGTGCCCGCAGAGAGGACTCTGTCTACCACCTGTGATACATGTGCCATAGGTTTGCCATCATGGATATATATCATTGATCCTATTCCTAAAGTCCTATCTGTAGTTTACAGACTATGTTCAAGGAATATACAAACCAAGTTTAATGTGAATAATAATAAGTAATGTGGACTAATGATAAGCTTCTCTGTGAGATCATTTGCTATTTACTTCTTGCTTTAGATCATATTCTGGGTTCAAAAGTGGCCTGTCTAGTGCTATCTGTTAACTGTTTCTAGTATAGAATAAAGTGGGTGAGAAAACCAATTTTAAAAGTGGCATGCAAATTCCAAAATAAATAAAACACATGGTTTAGGTCTAAACTCTTTCAATAACTATCTATTTCCCTACTGTCTACCCAACATACTCTGTTTATTAGTGGTCTGTTTTTATTGGTCCTACTAGGTTAGCTTTGAGACCAACAACAAATTTAGCTTTCTTCATGGCAACAGGCTTATACAATAGAATAAACTGCCATTGTAGTTTAAGCAAGGCCCCTGCTTACTAAATTTAAAAACAGAGTGAAAGCATATTTATTTTCACTGACCTTTTAAAATCATTGTTCTAGCTTTTGTGTTCTGTACCACTTACATTTTAATGCTTTTGCTATTTGTCAGCCACCTATATCCATTAAGCAAATGAATGGCAAACACGTAGTCCTTGTTATGTCACTTAACAACTGTTTGAAGGTTGGACTTACAAAAATTTACTGATGACCTGTCCTCAAAATTGTAACTGCAGCCCCATACCTGCAATCACATGTTCATATTCCAAGTGCTTGGCAACAAGCTCGCATTTACAACAGGTGTCCTGTTGTCACATGATTGTGTTTTGCAATGATTTTTTGTTGTTGTTGCAAAATGGCAAAAACATCCATTGGATAAAATGGGTTCACCCTTACTAGTATGTAGTTCACTTAATGATCATGGTAATTCACTTAACAACTATCATAAACATAGTAGTAAAATGGAGTCTGATTATGTGGGGAGAAGGGGGAGTGGGAGAAGAGGGGAGGGAAGAGAAGAGAAGGGAATAGATGAGAATGGAAGGGAAGGGAATGGAAGAGAAGAGGAGGGGAGGGGAGAGGAGAGGAGAGGAGAGAAGAGGAGAGAAGAGAATCAGAAATATACTGAGTTGAGCAGCTACTTTTAATGCTTGCCACACTGAATATTTTCTCTTATGGTCTACTTGACCATCTTATTGATTATTCATAAGATAAAAAGTGTTAGAACAATTTTTTTTAAAAAAAACCCTTATTGTAACACATATCCTTGAAGTAGTCTGCTTCTTACTTTTCTCCATTGAGAAACTTGTTCATTTATTGCTATTCTTTGCATTCTATTCTTAACTAGTTCAAAATATGTGGAAAGAAAGGTCCTCCTATCCCATGACCACAAAGTTTGCTCAGGAATCTTTGATAAAAATGCAGCATAGAGAAATCCTTGATGGCAGCTTTGTGAGCCTGACACTGCAGTTCTTGCTTTTCTATTCATACTTGTAATGAAGAAGTAAATGTTTTGTTCTGTAAGCTTGAAATTGTCATGCACTTGTCATTAAGCATAAAATATGGAGTCCCCAAAACATTCCAGAGTCGAAGGAAAAAGAAGATTTTGCAAATTGGAAAGACAAGTTTTCTCTTGATAGTCAAACAGTTATGATGTAAAGTGGTCTCATTAAATCATAAGTACTTTAACCTTTTCTTGAAAGAACTGGAAGATTTAAAGATTTATAAAGAAATGTTGCCCAAACTAAAAAAAGGCTCACATCTGACATGTATTGAAATGATAATGCTGATTTCAATAGGCATTCTAAGAGCATTTTGCTCCCAAAGGAGTAATTCAAATCCAGTTACCTCTTTACATTTGGCATTTAAATTTCTTTTGTAAGGCTTTTAATGTGGCACTGCCAAAGCATGGCAAAGTTATGCAAATGTGATTGAGCAAAATAAAAGCTAATATGAATATTATTAAATAATTAGTGATACTGAATATGTAATAAAACATTCCCAAGTGGCAATTCTATAGATGACCCATTTCAGTCTAGTTTTGGTAGAAGTGGGAATGACAACATACATTTGTTAAGACTCTTCAAAGTTCATGATTCCTTTATTCATTTATGGAGGGAAATATATAAACAAACATTAGGAAAACAGCAACATCTAATTTTACATGATAGCCACTTCTAACACTGTACAGCAGGGCTATGTGATGCTTTAGATTTTCAGAGTCCAAAAAAGTGCTTTGGAGAACACAGCAATTTAAAAAATGTGATTTTTCTGCAACCCTTTAAAGCAACTGAATTGATAACGTTGCTTTAAAGAGATATAAATGGGTGCTACATTTGTTCCGAAGCATCTTTTTGGAAGCTAATCTGAAGTACTGCATGGCCTTTCTGTATCATTGCAATACCATATTCCCTGCATAGAATGCCCTATCCCCTTACTTCAGCTTTTACCTTAGATCTAGTTAATAAATTCTGTAGAACCTTTAGATCTAAACCCTTATGCTAATTTTAGGCCCTCTAGGTTCATGGTGGAGCTGCTGAATACTACTACTTCATGGCATTTGCTCATAGTACCAGTACAGAGGTCAGCTTTCAATTTTATGTGCTATTATGTCAGCCCCAAAGGAGATACTAACTCACTGAGTATGACACTAATGATTGATTATGAGTTATATGTAGCTGTGTCCTTCGGCCAGTGGAACAGTTTCATTATTTTGAACATCTAAAAGCTGCCTGGGATGCCCAAAATTCTGTACACAAGTTTTCCCCCCACCTCCCCTACTCTAACAAATGGCATATGGAATCTAAAAAGTACTAAAATTTATGGATGTGTTGTAAATGCATATAGCATCTTGAATGGTGGGTTAGAGAGTTGATGCTATTACACATGATAGTACTGATCTCCTACTTGTTAGGTATTTAATCCAGGAAGTTTATCGCTTCTCATTCAACCTAGAACCTTTTTTATAAGGCAAATGCTATGTTCAGCACAGCTAAGTATCTTGTGAAATATTTCAATACCTATTTTACTGCTATGCTTGCTTGCTTTACAATCCCGTGATGGATATTATATGCAGGAACGAACACTGGTCATTGTTAAAAACTCTGTTAGGGAGCACAGTTTGAAATAAAGAAATGTATCATCCTTTGTCCCCATACTTTATCATAATATTTTAAGTTAAATTCTACCACTTTAACATTTGTTCAGAGGTGCCCCTCTCATATAATACAAGACTTTAATACTGATGCTAAAGGTTATTTATTTATTTAACTCACCTGCACGCTAAGATGATTCCATTTCTTCACCAGAATTCTCCCCAGTGTCATTACTTTTATCGGTAGCTGCAGCCCATTTATAGTGCGATAATAAAACACTGTCTCTTTCTCAGAAATTGTAAGCTTGAACACAGTCTGCCCATGAACAGTTTTCTCCACCATACACCTTTGGAAACAATAAAGAAAACAACACCAAGAATGAACTCCAGGAAGAAGTGGGATTACTAGAGAAATGGAGGAGGGGGAGTAGTGATGCAGGTATGAGTAGCCAGGGATTTATAAAGCAGAAATTAAGTTTAATAGAATTAAAAGCAAATAAGTTATCATGGAAGGTTTCTGCTGGAGTCTTTTAAGCCTCTATTTTGGGCTCTTTTTCTTCATCAAATTTGTGTAAGAAATCTGTATTTGAAAAAGGTGATTGCTAATAAGACAAAATTAAGTTTCAATGGGTCAAAACTAATATGATTTTTAACAGATATATTTATAAATTGATGGCTGAAGTACAACCAGAGGTGGGTTGCTCCCAGTTCGGTCCGGATCGGATGAACCGATAGCAGCAGTTGTGAAAGGCTCCGCCCACCCACCTGGATGCTTCTGCACATACGCAGAGGTGTCACATGCACACGTGCATGAGCGAACTGGTAATAAAAAAATTTGAAACTCACCACTGAGTATAACAGTTTAATAATAAACATCCCTCTGTATAAGCAGGATCTAAATTTTTCAGGATATCACATGCGCTTAAAAAAAAAGCTGATGCAATTCATTCAGTTAACAGAAGTATAATATCTGGGCCACTGGAAGTAACACTGTACTCTTGGTACAATTTAAGGTCAGTTACACATTGGGCTAGCTGTTCAGAAGGGCAGTCAATTCACTGCGAATAATGGCAAAGAAATTCTAATATGAACAAAGGAGCTAAATATTTTCAGGGTTTAGTGCAGAATTTTAAAAAAGCAACATAGCAGCCTTGATGATGTGATTGAATTCCCACTTGATTCTTTTATGTACGTATATTACACATATCCTTGGTATGTTTAGTCTGGAGAACATAAAGGATAAGCAAAATAATAATCTTCCAAATTCTGGAATACTGGCATTCACAAGACAGTGTAGGATTCGTTCTGCTACTCTCTAGAATCAATTATGGAAATTGCAGTCAAGCACATGAGAAGAAACTTCCTCATAACAAATGTTGTGTGTCAGTGGACAGGTTGCTTTGAGAAATTTTTTTTTCTTTGTTTTAGAACTTTAAGCAGAATTCGGATAACCATATGTCAGGAATTTTGTAGTGGCAGCCTATACTGCAGATATTTCTTGGCTAAAATCTCTTGAACTCCATATTGGTAAATAAGAAGAATCATTTGTGAGATGTGGGAAGACATGACATCCTGCAGAAGTCCAACATTTGTTGAGGGTAAGCCTGTGCGGTGTAAGAAAAGACATCATGTTTCATTCAGGCCCCATCAAAGATACTTAGCTGTTTCAGGTGAAAATTACTTCCCTGTCATTCCTGTATAGCAATAGCACTTACATACCACTCCACAATGTTCTACAGGCCTCTCTAATCAGTTTAGCATCAGCATATTGCTGGGTCCTCATTTTACCCATCTCGGAAGGATGGGAGGCTGACTGACTACAGAATTTTACTTCAACATTGATCCTGATCCATCCTTCCAAGGTTGGTAAAATGAGGATCCAGATTATTGGGGACAATATGCTGACTCTGTAAACCACTTAGAGAGGGCTGTAAAGCACTGAAAAGCAGGATATAATTCTAAGTGTTATTGCTATTTCCCTTGCATGTCCTCAAGTTCTCTTCCAAACTTCCACAGAAGATATCCCCCCCCCTTGTAGGAATACACAAAATGGGAGTATCTTTGCATTTGAGCAAGATCAGCAAATAAAGGCAACTGGATTCCATCCTTTATATTACAATGCTATGTAAGCACACAATAAAAACATTTATTCATAAAACGTTCCAACTTTTCTAAAAAATGTACATTAGTTCAAGGTTAAAGGGCATACCATTTCAAAGAGAACTTTGTTGTTTTCCCACTGCAGTTCGGTTAAAAAGAGACACGATTCTTGCCCAGAGACTGGCTTGTCACTAACTCACTTTTAATCAGACAAGATAAATGAAGTTTGACTATTATTCTCTTTCAGTAATGATTCTGATCCCATCAATTATTTGTCAACAGAATTTTAAGTGAACTATGCAATCTGCAATGTTGCTAAAAATGCATTTCTTAACATACTGCTGATTCTGCCTGCTTGTAAACATGTTGGTTTTTCAATATCAAATATTTGTCAAGGCACAGCCAAGAAGGAAAATATTTAGGAACTGGATTTATTCAGTTCCTGGATAAACAATAATTGGATAATCCAAAGTTTATTAATTTTGCTTATCTAAAAACAAATATCTCCATATGTGGACTCCAACAAGTGTCCTGCCTTTAACAAAGGATGTGACCCTGATGAATAATACTTTAAAATCCATAAAGTTTTCACAAATGTGTGATTTACAACTAATTTCCCATCTGGTGAAAGTATGTCAATCTTGACATAACATGACTACAACAATAACAATAAACCTTTCAAAAAAAAGTTGACTTTTGAATCCATTCTGTTCAATTATTGTTTTAAGCATTAATTATCATTCAAATCTAGATTGGCATCTTTTAATTATATCAATGTCTCTATGCATATTTTATAGTTAGAGAGAAATTCTAAGATTAATAACTAGGTCTATTAGAATGTCTCTGTCCTATCCAAGAGCAGATATTTTATGGTGATGAAGGCAGAAACCACTTTGATTGATTCTTTTCACTCTGACCATCCATACTTCCATTTTAATTCTTAACATTTGTGGAAGACTTATGATAGAAGGCAATGACAGTGGAGACTTCACTAGTACAAAGAGAAGCCCTTCAATACTGCAATTATTTTCATGAAAGCCTTTTCTATACACAGAGGAGTGCCACACATAAATCCAATACATTCCATGAACCACTGCCTGCCTGCCTTCCTTCCTTCTATCTTTTCTTCCTTCTTTCCTTCCTTCCTTCTCTCCCTCCTCATATCCTTCCATCCTCCCCCTTCTTTTATCTCAACAAATTACTCTGGGCAATCTTAAAATAATAAAAATGACATGACAATTACAAAAACTGAAATACAGAGCCAAGATATTTTCTTCCTTCTTTCCTTCCTTCCTTCCCTCCCTCCTCCTATCCTTCCATCCTTCCCCTTCTTTTATCTCAGCAAATTACTCTGGGAAATCTTAAAATAAAATAAAAATGACATGACAGTTACAAAAACTGAAATACAGAGCCAAGAGATATACTTAAGTGACTAATACCATCAGGACATGGATCCCTTCATACATGAGGTCCCAGGTCTGGACACAAAACTAGATCTTTAAGGCCTTACAAAAGGCCAGCATGGTTGGGGACAACTTGATCTTTGGAAGGACAAAGTTCTATTACTATGATAGAAAAGACTGACCCATTTCAGTCAACATTCCTTAGCCTACTGGTCCTGGAGCATGCCAGTCCTGCTGAACTAGATCAAACAGGCAGAAACATTTAAGAGACAAGATGAACCTTTAAGTTCTCAGGCCATGAAAAAGCTTGAAAGATGACAACGAACACCTTGAATTTCATCCAGAAGCACACTGGCAACCAATGCAGCTCATGAAGTATGGTGTCATATGTGCCATTTACTACCCTGAAGCTTTTGAATACTCTTCAAGGACATACCCTCAAACAGTGCATTAAAGTAGTCCAGATGGAAGGTCACAAGGGCATGAATCCAACCCTGTGTCACCCCAAAATTAGACGCCATGGTCTGAATCTTTTCAATGTTGATTGGAACTAGCGCTAAAGGAAGGAAGAGCAACAGCACACCATAGTTTTACCTAGCCTTCCAGAGTCAGTCCAAAGTGATACTAAGATTGGTAATATTGAAAGCCGCTGAGAGATCAAGAACAATAAAGATGGATGAACAACCCTCATTCCACTTTCATCAAATTAATACCATCGTGATCACATATCCAAACCTAAACCTAACTGAAAAAATCCATATAATTTGTTAATCCAGAGACCTCTGAAGATGCTCTAGGACCACCACATTCTCAACAACTGTTGCCAAAATGGGGAGTTTGGAAACTGGATGAGAATTATCCAGACTGCTTGATCAAGTAATGGATCCTTGAGAACAGAGTGCACTACTGCCTCTTTAAGGCCCACCAGGACCTTCCTTTATATGGTTAATTACTTTAAATACTTCATTCATTTCTCTGTTTCTATATTGCTTTAAGATCAGAACATCAATACATGAATCGCCAAATATGAAATCAATACATTATATGAAAGATGTAGAAACTTAACAACTGCCTAGGAAATGCTTCCTATTTATTAAATTGAGTCTCTCTGCTAACCATTGTATTGTTGAATCATTGAATTCTAGGGCAAGTACAGGGACTTGGTAAATACACATCTCCCCAAAACACAAACTCTCTTAAAGAGATATTTGGAACATGGATTACTGCTGTTCACATTATTGATTATAAATAAAAACAATACACTTTACAATAGCAATGAAAAGCATCTCCTGACAGGGGAGACTGTTTGACAGCAGAACAGTATTAAATATATGCCTCACCTAGATTCTATCTATTTTAGCCATCAAACTTGCATACTTGAAATCTGATAATAAATTTTGATTGCAACTGATAGTTAACATAATGTGATTTAAATAGCTTTAACTTCTTTATTAATGAAGTGCCAGTTTATGACATTTCAACCTTTTGCTTAAACACAATTTCCAAATTAAAGTATAAAATGTTATTTACATTGGATCCACACTTTTCTATTTGTTCAAACATTCAAGGGCTATACATAGAATTTGTTTTCCAACTGTATCCCTATTATAATAACTTGATTAGGTTGAGAAATCATGATTAAGTTTGTAAGACATTTACTTGTCAAGGCCAATGTTAGTATTAACATGCAAACACTCAGTCAACTGTGGTTAGAGACAGACTGTTTTAATCCATGGTAGCAGGTTTAGCTATAGCTAAAGTCAACCACACCATGTGAACAACAAAATCCAGTTAAAAGTCAAGGAATTGCTCAACCCCTTCTACCCAAATCACCAAGAAAAAAA